TCTTCTCTGGAAAAATGTCTATTCAGGTCCTTGGCCCATTTTTAAATTGGGTGAATTGCTTTTTTGCTATTGAGTTGTATCAGTTCTTTATATATTTTGGATATTGGTCCTTTATCAGATATAAGATTTGTGAATCTTTTCTCCCATCCTAGAGGTTCCCTTTTCAGTTTATCGATTGTTTCCTGTGCTGTGCAGAAGCGCTTTAGTTTAATGTAGTCCCACTTGTTTAGTTTATTTTTTGCTGCCTGTGCTTTTGGTGTCTTATTTAAGAACTCATTGCCAAGATGAATGTCAGGGACTTTTTCCCTACGATTTCCTCTAGGAGTTTTATGATTTCAGATCTTACATTTAAATCTTTGATGTGTTTTGAGCTAATTTTGGTGAGTGCTGTAAGCTAGGACTCCTAGGTCTACAATCAAAAGAATTGAAATCACTATCTCGAAGAGATTATCGGCACATTCGTGTTCACTGCAGCGTTTTTCACAACAGCTAAGATATGGAAGCAACCCAAGTGTCCATCAACAGATGAATAGATAAAGAAGATATATATCTACAATGGAATATTATTCAGCTGTGAGAAAGAAGGAAATCCTGCCACTTACAACAGCATGGATGGAACTTGAGGGCATTAAGCTAAGTGAGATAAGTCCAACAGAGAACGACAAATACTGAACGACTCTAAAAAAGCTGAACTTGTAAAAGCAGAGTAGAATGGTGGTTACTGGGGGCTTGGGGTGGGGTGGGGGAATTGGGGAGATGGTATTTGAGGGTACAAACTTGCAACTAGTAGATAAGTTTTTGAGATCTAAAAAAACCCAAAAAACAAAAAAGCCTATTACAGTGCAAAGATCACTAATTTTTGGGAACCTGGCCTGGGCTGTATTTCAGGCTTTGCTCTACGCGTCACCTCAGGAAACTTGAACAAGACCTCTCTCTCTCTGAACCTCGGTGTTCTCTTCTGTATAACAAAGGGTAGAGGGTCAAGCATTGCAAGGATCCCATACAGCATCTACATAATGAGATTTGGTACTACCCTAGGTTTATCTTGAGGAAATAAAATTCATCCTTACCATTCACGGAAGTCTTCACCAGAACATTTTAGTGGATTTCTGTTTCTGTTCTCTTTGCTGAATTTGAAAGTAATCCAAGTCAAAGGAAATAACTGAGAACTGTGCCACCTTGCCCACAAAGCTCCTTTCACTTGCTGTTTCTGTGTAAATTATCAATGCTTATCCTTTTGCCCATCTTGCTAATGTTACTACAAAAAGGGTCCCCAAAGAGGGATCCTGAAGGCTACATATGGAGGCAGAGCCCCTGGGACCCTTATCTCAATGAGTCTCCTTATTGTCATTATTTAAGGAGCACCCTTCAGCCGCTTTTATTGCAGGAATTCTTCTGACATTTGTATGCAGTATCTTTTTCCATCCTTTCACTTTCCTTTTGTGAGTGTCTTTAGTTCTGTGTCTCTTATATGCTGCATATATATGGGTCTTGTTTTTTTATCCAGTTGGCCACCCTATGTCTTTTGATTTGAGCATTTGGTCCATTGACATTTAAAGTAGCTATTGATAAAAAGGTATTTATTGCCATTTTGTTACTTTGTTTTTCTGGGTGTTTTGGGAGTTCTTCTCTGTTCCTTTCTCTCTTGCTCTCTTCCCTTGTGGTTTGATGGCTTTCTTTAGTAATATGTTTGATTTCTTTCCTCTTACTTATTTGTTTACTTATTATAGGTTTCTGGTTTGTGATTACCATGAGGGTTCTATATAATATTCCATATATATAGCAATCTATATTGAGTTGATAGTCTCTTTAGCTTGACCTCTTTCTAAAAGCTCTACTCTTTTACTCCCTTCCTCCCACATTTTATGCTTTTGAAATCATATCTAATCTCTTGTTTTGTGTGTGTCTACCATTACCCTCTTATCATTGTAATAGGTAATTTTAGTACTTTTGTCTTTTACTATATATCATCTTCATAGGTGGTTGATCTGCTACCTTTACTATATTTTTGCCTTTACCAGTGGTTTTATTGCCTGTTTTTTTTTCTGCTTTATTTCTCAAACCCCACCTCCCCCTCACCCCTCCCCCCTGCCCCCTCCTCCCCAGTACATAGTTGTATGTCTTAGTTGCAGGTCCTTCTAGCTGTGGGATGTGGGACGCTGCCTCAGCTGGGCTGCTGCAGCGGAGGGTGCAAACTTAACCACTCGGCTACGCCGGCCCTGCCTGTTTTTTTTAAAATAACTTTCTTATCCCTATTTGTGGTCTTCTCTTTTCCACTTAAATAAGTCCCTTCAGCATTTCTTGTAGAACAGGTTTCTTGGTGATAAACCCCTTTAATTTTTGCTTCTCTGGAAGCTCTTTATCTTCCCTTCCCTTCTGAATGATAACCTTGCTGGATAGAGTATTCTTGGCTGTAGGTTTTTTTCCTTTCAGCCCTTTAAATACATCTTGCCACTGTCTTTTAGCCTGTAGGGTTTTGGCTGAGAAGTCCGGCGATAGCCTTGTGGGCTTTCCTTTGTATGTCATTTGTTGCCTTTCTCTTGCTACTTTTAGGATTCTCTCTTTATCTTTAATTTTGGACATTTTAATTATAATGTATCTTGGTGTGGGCCTCTTTGGGCTTATCTTGTTTGGTGTTCTCTGTGCTTCCTGTACTTGGATGTCTGTTTCCTTCCTTAGGTTAGGAAAGTTTTCAGCTATTATTTCTTCAAATAGATTCTCTGCCCCTTTGTCTCTCTCTTCTCCCTTAGATTATTCTCATTCTGTCTCATTCTGTTTTAGTGATTTCCTCTAGTCTTTCATCTAGCTCCCTGACCCGTTCTTCTGCATCCTCTACTCTGCTATTGAGTCCCTCTCGTGAATTTTTCATTTCCAATATTGTATTCTTCACTTCTGATTGGCTCTTTTTTACATTTTCTAATTCTTTGTTGACGTTCTCACTGTATTCATCCAGTCTTCTCCCAATATCAGTGAGCATCCTTATGAATTTTTGTTTGAACTCTTTGTCAGGTAAATTGCTTATTTCTGTTTCATTTAGTTGTTTTTCTGGGGTTTTGTCCTGTTCCCTTTTTGGAATGCATCTGTTTGCCTCCGCATTATGCCCCTTTCTCTGTGCTTATATCTATGTATTAGGTGAGTCAGCTATGTCTCCTGATATTGGAGAAGTGGCTTTATGTATGAGATGCCTTTTGAGGCCCAGCAGTATGATTCCCTCTTGTCACCAGTCCAAATGATCCAGGAGTGACTCCTGTTTGGGCTACTTGTGTCTTTCTGCTGTGGCAGGGTTGCTCTTACTGCAGGTACCAAGGGAGTCTAGTCTTTCCCTCCCTGGCCAGCTATTTGTAAATTGGGTTTGGGGAGCCCCAGCACGATTGGCTACCGGTCTAGTAGCACACTCCTATTGCAGTTTTCCTGTTAATTGAGTATGTACCCAGTGTAGCTGGTTGCTAGTCTCAGGGGCTTACAGTCTCTGTAGGCCTCTGGCCCGTAAGGCTATTGTCAGCTCCCTTAGGATTGCAGCTGAGTGGGGCTGGCCCTAGGCATGGGAGCACCCATTGTTTCAGGCTTTGGAAGGTGGAGCCAATCCCCTTTGTGGATGATTGTGAAGCACAGGTCTTCTGCCACTGATAAGCGCCGCCCCCCCCCCAGGTCCAGACACACCATCGACACAGCCCAGGTCTGTGCACACTTCCTGACCCCATGGAGTATACCCAATTGCCCTGCTGCAGAGGCCCCCACCTCTCCACCAAAGCCCCTCACAGTTCACCTGGTCCTCACACAGGTCCTGCCCCACAGAGGTGGACACACTCACCTGCCTGTAGAGGATCAAGGCACCCAGTCTATGCAGGCTAACAAGCAGCCTGAGGCCTTACTGTTGGGTGGGGCCACTCTCTAGGGTGGGCTGCCTGCCCTGGCTGAACTGGATTAAATCTGCTCTGTAGTGGGTGTGGCAGACCCCTGGGCTATCAGTCCAGGGGGAGAAAGTCAATGGTGTCTGCCAGCATCTGTGTCAGCACACCTGTACTAGGTCACAACAATGGCCGCCACCAGAGTCTCAGTCTCTGGAGAGGTCTCGCTTCTCACTGAGATGCACCCAAAGCCTACCAGGTGAGTCTCTTTTCACCATGTGTAGCTGTCTTTTTGGTGATTTTAGGTTGCTCTCGGAGATGGGTGAAATTGTGCACGGGGCCTTTAAGAGCCAGGTTTTGCGGCTTTCATCTGATAGCTTTTCCGGGGGTATCCAGGCTGCAGTTAATAGGCAGCGAAGCCACATAGTAGGGCTCCGTCTCAGTTGGGCTGAGTCTGAAGGGTGCTTATAGCAGTGGCATGCTCCCCGTTGAGGTCCACACTTCTCCAGGGAGGGCTGTGTACCTTAGGGTGGCTCCTGCCCCGCCAGCTGTGAAGGTGCATGGCACGTGAAGGTGGCTTTTTTCCTCTCCAGAAGGAATTTCTGCCTCTTCTGCCTCAGTCAGGACTGTCCCTTGTTATGGGGATTCTTTTTATCCAGTTTTCAGTTTTCTCTCCAGGGTAATTTTTCCAAGAATAGTCTTAACCTGGTTGTGTCTGTGGGAGGAGGTGAGTTCAGAGTCTGCCTACACTGCCATCTTGACGAGGTCCCCTGCAGGAAGTCTTTCTGGGTGGATGGAAGCACAGCCCTGCCATTGCCGTGTGCACCCCTGAGCAAACCGCCTCCCTCCTCTTGCATTTCTTCTTCTTCTTTTTTTTTTTTGAGGAAGATTAGCCCTGAGCTAACTACTGCCAGTCCTCTTTTTGCTGAGGAAGCCTGGCCCTAAGCTAACATTCTGCCCATCTTCCTCTACTTTGTATGTGAGACACCTACCACAGCATGGCGTGCCAAGCGGTGCCATGTCCACACCCAGGATCCGAACCGGTGAACCCTGGGCGGCCGAGAAGCGGAACGTGCGAACTTAACTGCTGTGCCACCCGGCCGGCCCCCTTGCATTTCTTCTTAAAGATGGCTGCCTGTGTTTTCATTGCAGAGCTCCTCTGACAGGGAGTCCATCCTGACCATCCTTCAGCTCCTCGGAGATCTGCTTTCTGGGGGTGAGTAGGCCATGCCCGCATGCCTCCAATGGTGGATGTGGGTGCATGTGGCTGTGGTGTCTCCCAGGAACCTGCGTGGCCTTGAGGTTTGCTCCAGCTGCAGTTTTCTGTGAGAGACAGAATCACCAGCCCATCTTTTTTCCTTGAAGTCAATAAGACCCAGAGTAAACTGGGCCGATTATACTTCATTGTTGTCACCCACCCTGCAGTGACCCAAATTTAGGAGGAAATTAGCCTCTGGCTGGTTATTCTATGGTATCTCATCTATGAGGCCAAGGACCTCCAGGGGTCTGTGGCTCTCCTCAGAGAGAGCCAGCCCTTAGCGATTCCGCCCCTCTCCTTCTTCTGTGCTCCCCTCCATTGTGGCCCAATTAGAGAGCCAGGTGTTGGCAGCTCCCTTATATATGTCAGGAAGAATCAGATATATGAGGCAAGAGCTGGGCTTAGCAGTGTGATGACACTGCTAAGATGACAGAGTTCACTACATGGGAGTCAACTGGGTTAACTGGAGCATGCCTTTGTTAGCTCGTTTCCGTGTGAGGGTCCTGGAAATACATCTTCTTGGACATTCCAACAGTCACTCAGTTTTCATTTCTATGTATGTCAGCCACATTGCATTAGAAAGAAATATTAACACCAAACAGACAATACCAAAATGAATGTCACTCTAAAGTCACAGAGCCTCAGGTTACAGTTTCAGGAGGAAGGCTCCGTTCAGATTGAGGTTTCCCACAGGCTGTGCGGCCCTCCAATGGCAGGGTGACTTCCCTGCAGTCTTCTGAGTGAGGCAACCTCTGCAGGTGAAGCCACTTGTCTTTTGGGATAGTGTCACCTTCAATTTGTCCAGAGTGTCTGAAACTTTTAGAATGAAACCTTGGAATTCTCCCGATATAGATGCTGGTTACTGCTCCTTTAGTAGAGGTCGCTACTTTTCATAAGGATGAAAAATCAGAGGGTATTCTTCGCTGATAATGTCCCACCCGTTGGCCATCTTGATTAGGTCAACAACACCCAGTGCATAGAGAATCACCTAGGTCCTCTTCTAAGTTGAAAGCTGATCACTGCTCTTGAGCTTGTCCTGGGCCAAGGTTGGGGAGGTCCCTATTTATAGCTATTCTAAGGTAGAGAGACCAATATACTTTATCCTAGCCCCAGACTCTTTTCAAGATTCCCCAGATGGGATGTTGGACATTTGTTTCTCAAGGGATTTCTCTGGTTGTTTCCATATTTTCCTCTCATCAGTTACTGAAGGCCAGCACCAAAAAGTCACCACATCACTAATAAAATTGTTCTAGGTAAGGTATCATCCCAATGCTTGTTACAAACAATTCAAGCCTATCGCAGAGGGGTGCTGATACTCCCTCTTCTGTTAAATGTGTAATTATACATATGCCTCTAGGCATATTTATATACATGCACACACAAGTACACACACATACCCTGAGACGCAACAGGTTCTCAGGAAAGTGGATTCTAGGCTCCATTTATTACAGCTACTGTAGGTCGACACATCTAGGTTCTTAAATATTCCACTATTTTCACACCCACTGGCCCCTTACCTAATGGTACAACTTTACACAAGTTGCTTCAAGAACAACACAGTTTTGGTTTCCAGGGTGAAATGAACCAATCCCTGCTCTGTCTCTAGCTCTGAGATCTACTTTCTGCTCCAAGGAAGTAAGCCTGGTTCTTTGTGGCTCAGCTCTGCTTTGCTTCCCCCTCAGGTACTGACCGGAGGATTCGCTACATGATCAGCAAGGGTGGCAGCGAAGCTCTTTTGCAGACCCTGGTGGACACAGCGAGGACAGCTTCTCCAGACTATGACATCCTCTTGCCCCTCTTCCGGCTACTGGCCAAAGTTGGCCTACGAGGTATCCAAACCTACTGACCCAAAGATGACTGAAAGGCCCTTCTGGTGGTGTTCTCATGAGAGCAATCTGGGAATTCTTGGGGGAAGTGAAGGGAGTCAGCAGAAGAGAGGTCCTAGACACCTTGGTGGTGATGGCAGGACCAACGCCATAGGAAAGGTAATTGTGTTGTCCTAGATCTCGGCAAATGCAAGGTATAGTGCTTAGGCCAGGGCCCAGAGCAGGCATGGGCTACCTGGGGCATGGAGCATATGGGAGACAGGGGAGACACTCCAAGGCAGTTTTCAATCACTTAAAAATACATGAGGCAGTTCTACAAATAACATCTTACATGGAAGTTCGTTAGATAAGTGCATCGGTCTCTGAGGGCTGCCGTAACAAATGACCACAAACTGGGAGTCTTACAACAACTGAAATTTATTCTCTCACAGTTCTGGAGGCCACAAGTCCAAAGTCAAGGTGTTGGCAGGATTAGTTCCTTCTAGAGGCTTAGAGGGAGAATCTTTTTTGTGCCTCTCTCCTAGATTCTGGTTGTTTTCAGCAATCCTTGGTGTTTCTTGGCTTATAGACACATCACTCTGATTTCTGCCTGTATCTTCACATGGCATTCTACTCTGTATGTCTTTCTTTGTGTCCTCCCTTCTTATAAGGACATTGGTCACTGGATTTAGGACCCACCCAAATCTGTATGACCTCATCCTAATTAAATCTGCAAAGACCCTATTTCCAGATAGGATAACCTTCTGAGGTTCCAAGTGGATGTGAATTTTTGAGGGACAGTTTTCAACTCACTGCTCTAAGTATACAGAAGTGGAGCCTCCCTAGTGGAAGGGAAGACGGGGGCCTAGAATTCTTTCCACTTATGCTCCATAACCATTTCTCATGGCTTGTAGAAGACCTTGAAACACCTCCCTAAAACCCGAGAACTTCTTGGAACACAGTTTAAAAAGCTTGGGCTCTCAGGGTGCATGTAAACATTGCAAACTAGTCATAACAGTCAAGCTCCAATCGTGTGCAGTCTTACATGGGTCACAATGGAGAAGCGCAGGTCCTCTGAAAGGTGGACCCTCGATGTCCAGTGTGGACAGTGGCAGCCACGGGCACAGGGACTCTGGGGTGCTCTTGCCTTTCAACGTTTGGATCTCTGCTTTGAGTCCGTTCAACATTCCACAAATAATGACTGAGACTCAGGCATCAGCCAGCACCTGCATGAGTGTGTTTCAGACAAAACCAATAAACTTAATTCATTGAATATTCAATAGGTATTCACTACATGTCTTGTAGGGCTGGGTGCTGTTCTAGGCATTGGGAACACCATGGTGACCAAGACAGATAATGGGTCTGCTGTCATGGAACTTACATTCAAGCAGAGAAGGGCAGAAGGTAAATAATTAACTAGATGATCGCAGACTGTGATAATTAACTAGATGATAGTGTAAGGGAAGGAAAGGGTGATGCTCCTCTAAGATGCTGTGGTCAGAGAGAGGTGACGTTTGAGCCAAAACTTGAAGGATGAGAAGTCAGCAAAGCAAAGAGTGGGCCAAGTGAACTCCAGGAAAAGACCAAAGAAACATGATATATACCCCAGTTGTAAATGGTGTAAGCTAGGAAGTCAGATCTGGGTTTCAGGCTTGGCTTTGACACTTGTCAGCTGTGTGACCTTGGGCAAGTTACTTAAACATTCTGAACCGTTGGGCCCTCATCTAAAAATGGAGGTATCAGTACTTAGTTCTAGGCTTGCTGTAAGGATTAAGCGAGGTTGCATGTCACCCGCTTAGCATGTGAGGCCAGAGGTGTGACAAACAAGAGTTATGTAGGTTTCATAGGAGAAAGAGAGATGTGAGATGCACCAGGGCAGTGATTTTCAAGTTATGGACCTTGATATTACTATTGTCATAATTACATCCCCATGGCTTCTGCCATCAAAAGATTGTGGCCCTCGACATTGACATTTAAGCTGTCAGGGGCTGACCTGAAGAGAACAGAAATGAGTTTGGCTGCTCATGAATGGAGCTGGGTTGGTTTCTTTTTTCCATGAAGGGAATGGGTTCCATGAATTTAGTCACAATCTCTTTGTAGTGTCCTTTGATCCAGAGGTAAATGTTGGTCAGCGAGGTTTAGGATATTGTCTCTTTTCCTCCTTTCCATCTGTGACGTGTCTCACTGTAATTCTATTCCTGTGAAAGCAAACCTGATGATTTGGGCACTGAACTTTGGAAAGGACACCAACAAATGTGACAGGTGGCACAGTCACCTGCTATCATAGTGGGAGCCAAGAACATGAAATAAAATGTACTTTCCCCTTGTCTTTTATGCTTATTCACTAATTATTAAAATAATAGTGACTTATGTGCGACAATAAATATCAGGTTATTTGGATCAATAATTTAGAGAAATTTGGGGAGAAAATTTTGTTTTCCTCAATTATATTTTCACTTTTTATTATAAAGTTCTCTATCATATAGAAAGATGAATTCTTATATACCTATTTCTTAGGTCTAACCATTGTTAGACCTTTACCTATTTATTTTTATTTTAAATATTTTAGGGAAAACCACAGATAGCATTTTGTTCCTAAATACTTTCGAGTGTATTTCTTTGAAAAGAGACATTTTCCTATATAACAGCAATACCATGATCACCAATCTAGCAAAACTAATAATACACGCATAATTTATACTCATTTCAGTTTCTCCAAATGTCCCCAACATATCTGTTATAGACGTGTTCAAAGAAAGATCCAATCAAGGTGCAGGCATTGCATTTGATTGATGCGTAATTTAAGTATCTTTAGTTCTAAAACTGTCTTAACGGAGGAAATTTATACTAAACTGTAGTTCATGTTTTAAGACAACCAGAAATATCCTTACATATAAGGGAATGCGAGTCATCCAGCCCACAAGGCTTCATGTAAATATCACTTGAAGAATAATGGACCATACGTGTACCCTGAATTAACTCTTCTGAGTCATCTGGTCCAAAGGGGGACAGAATGGGGACATACTTAGCATTTCCCACTAGATCTGAAAAGTCTCATTGGCTATGGTTATCCTCCGCCCTCTGCCATTTTTACTTTCCTCTCCCCCATGCATCGTACAACATTCAGAATTAATGTGAAACACAATTAAGATGGATTGATTTGTGTTTACAGATAAAAAGTTTGGACAGAAGGCACTGGAATTGGAAGCACTTGATGTGACATTGATTCTGGCCAGAAAAAACCTGTGTCACAGCCAGAACCTCCTCCACTGTCTCTGGGCTCTGCGAGTGTTTGCCGCTAGTGGTAAGCGAGTCAATTGTGGCTCTCTGGGATGGCTTCCAGACCTGGGCTGGGACACCTGGAAACCATTTGGGGGTGTGGTTGGAAGTAGGGTGTGGGTGGACATATGTGGTTGCAACAAGATAAATAAACCACGAGGAGCCTTATGTTCTAGAGGCGGTGGCAGTGAGAAATTTTTTCTTCATCTCCTGCTCAGCCAGGTAGAACTCCTGAGCCTGTTCCTGAAGTTAGATGTCAATATTGTTTTGTTTTCCCTTGGGAACAACACATTATAGCACTCTAGGCCTCTCTCTTAGTACTACAAGGTGAAGAACACTTATGGCTGGAGAGGGCAGACTTTGTTCCATCCTTATATTCAGGGCACAGTGTGATGTGTTACACCTATCAAGAACGACCCTCACATCACAAATCTCCCCGCTATGTCCCTGACCTTACTCATTGATCACAGCATCCTTTACCAAATTTTATCTCACAATGCTTCTCAACATAGTCCTTCAGGTCACTAGATATATCATAGCACATGTGTTGATATTTATTTGCTGCACATGTGTTGATATTTATTTGCTATCTCCTGATTTGGCTTATTTCTGATCATAGCAATCTTGTATTTAGACTTACCATTTTATAGCCAAGAAAAAGAAAATAAAGGTTGAAAAAGTGAAGTAATTGCTTGAGTTCATGCAGATAAGTTATGGGGGCTGAGTTTTTAACTCCAAGATTCATGTTTATTCTGCTCTCCATATGGAGACAATTCTTATTAATAGATTAGATTCTATACTTCCTCTCTCACATATAATGAGCATAGACTTTTATTTCTCCTTTCTGAGCCCCTTTCCTGCAGGATGAAAGTGACAGTTAATTTGATATAATGCTCTCTAGAGGAAAGAACATGGGCTTAGAGCCAGGAAGCCCTGGCTTTGATGCCGATTTTATTCCTTAAGTCATATGACATGGGCACTTAACCTGTTTAACCTCAGTTTCTTCCTTTGTACCATTATAGCAGTGATAAGAGCTTGTAGACTTGGTAGATGGGATAAGTCAGATAATGTTCACAAGGATGCTGGTCACATAGTAGTTGCTCACTAAGTGTCAGTTTCCCTTCTCGGCTCTACTCTTTTCCCTCAGTCCTTTGAAATAGTAATAAGAACACACATGATGGGAGTAAGCAGGTGACTTTTCCCCTAACTATCCTCAGAACTACTAAAATGGTTAGTAGGAATGTATTTTATTGGCTGATCCCTTTAATAAGCATGGAGAACCCATAATGAGAGGATATTTCTAGGGAATAATGAGATGGATTCTTGACTCTGTGTTTACAGACAGAACCTCTACTCACACTCATACATGTTGACCAGAAAATGTTTGGGAGAGGCTGAAAGGATTCATACAAACCCATCTCTAATAAAACCCATCTTTAAGTGAGAATCTGTGCCTTTGTGTAAAGGACACCTCTCATTAAGGAGTAGCCAGGTGTGCTAACCCCATTTGGAGGTTGCCATCAGCACAAGATTTGAAGTATCTCATTGTGGTTTCCTGAAGAATAATTAGGCTGAACAATTCACCTTCCTTATTATGTATATTTGTTGTGGAGATACTGAAGAATCCTTCAGCAGGGGGCTCTGAGAAATGCTGCGATTTGCCTGTGGACATGAGAAGGTGTCCAGTTGTCTCATTTTGAGACTCCATTTATTGTACCAATTAACGGCTTCATAAGATATTTAAAAAATTACACTGTCACTCTCTATACATTGACTTTACTGATGAGAGGCAAGCAGAGTTGACGAAGCCTATGAATTGTTCTCTCTTTGGTGAATTATTAGCCACTATTGAATGTTCTAGCAAGCTTTCTAAACACCTCCTGTCTGTAGAAGGAGTTCACTGGAAGCATAATGGGTCTGTAACAGCCAACGAACCTTTAGGAAACTCTCAGATGGCCAGTGGGGACGTTTATAGAGCTGCCAGAGGTCTAACCTTGGGCAGGCATCCTGCATGGAAGAACTCAGTGAGGATTTCTTATTGTCATCCTCTCCCAATTCCAAGTCTAAAGTCTTCCATGTTATACTCCATGCTCTTAAAACTATTTCTTCCCTAACTACTTAATCATAAAATTTTGCTGAATTATTTGCCAAGAGATTGCTCCAGCATGTTTTCTCAATTTAGAAGTAAGGACTGAGTTAGTCACCATGAGAGTGGAAGACTGATGGGCAGGACTAGGATGCCAAAGCCCTGAATTTTGGTCCAGGCAATTACTGGCTGTACTAGCCTCAGGAAGGACATGTGCAGAGAGGATGTTTCAGGAACATGCACTCTTTGTAACAGCTAAACATCAGCCTCAGTCTCTCTCTGGTGGACTGTACTGGGATGAACTATATTAAAGCCTTCAGATTTCCATTTATCCTCCTTTCCCAAGGCTTGGAGCAAGCCAGCATAAGCTTCCCTTGTTTCTCTCTCTTTGCTTCTCCATGACCCCTTTATTCCCCTTCATATTTCCTGGGACAAAGCACAAGGCATTCCTAGGTCTCTGTGTTACCCCACCAGTGCAGTGGAGGAAAAGAGAAAAGAGAGTCATACTTTGGAAGATGACCTTTCCTTCTTCCACTGAAAATTTTACCCCCTGCAAAACTGACTCTATCTTGTATCCTGTGGATTCCTCTTATTTTTTGACATGGCAAGAGCTCTTCAAGTGAACTGAATGGAGTCGGGTACCAGGGATATTGCAGAGAGGCTGGAGCATCATTGGAGATGGAAGTGGCATCCAGAGGTTTTGTGTCCAAAATACTTATCTGAAGCCACTGGCTGACCAGAAACCCCTTTGAGTTTCTTTCTATCATTCAAATCTAAGGCTATGTTTTTATAACCATCCAAATGGGCAAAAACCCAAAAATTTCCCAGGCCAGTTACTTCTGAGCAAGAGTACTGATTCTTCCTTTGACATTCTAATGGAGAAAGACATAGTCAAGTTTTGGCCTCAGTCATGGGAGGTCCAAGTACAAAAGTTGTAGGGGGACTTGGAACCAGGGTGGAAAAGAAAGGGAGTTATTTTCTTTATTAAGTTGCCCCTTAAAGTTTTAAAGGGGTCAGTCCGAGTTGTATTGAAATTTAACTCGTCTTGCGACTTTTCTTCATTGTGAAGTCTCCAAGTGGCAGAATATGCCAAAGAAAGTGTTTTCTAAGATACCGGTAGTGTGTGCATGCATGTGCGTGCATGTCTGTATGTATCATTTGGGAATCTGGTGGTGGGTGAAACAGCTTGAACTGAAGTCATTGCTGGAAACTCAAAGATCTACTTAGAGAAAAATCTTCTGCTCAGTAACTGTCTTGACTATTCTGATTAAGAATACAATGGAGAAGTGCAATGGGCCATCAGAAAATGAAAAATATAATTTTGTGGCTTGGGCCCCCTTCGAGAAGAAGACGTGTGAGAAGACAGCGTGTGCTTTTCAGGTGATCATAGCTTCCAAGATAGGGATGAAAAGACCATAGAGTTTTTCTGCTTCTAAGTTGCCTTTGTCAAGGAAGGTGATGGACCTCCTCTACCTTGTAATGCTGAAAATAATGCTTGTTTCAGATGGCTCAATAACACTGTGCTTTTGTCTTTCCCAGTCACCACTGCAGCCATGCTGGGAATTAATGGAGCGATGGAACTGCTTTTCAAGGTCATCACCCCTTATACGCAGAATCGCACCCGAATAATCAGGTACAGAGCACTTTTTCAAGTACTTTTGCCCTCTTTATAATAGACGCAGAGATGAGATGGCCTCGAATATATTCTCATGGTGCTTCCAGTTCAGCTGAGTGATGACTTCCCTTTGTACGTATGATGCAATGACTTCATTCTATCTCAACTTGCATCTCTCCCCACCCATGAGTCATTTCCCCTAATCCTCACAACAACCCTGAATGGGTATATTATTATCCTCATTTTCAGAAGAGGAAACTAAAATGTGGAGAGAGACTTATCCAAGATCACAATGCGAGGCAATGGCAGAGTTGGGATTTGAATCTGGAACTTCCTGACTCAAACGCTTATGTTTTTTGCCCAAAGACTTCAAGTATCCCTTTTACTCACAGCAACTCTATGATAGTGAGTTTAGTCTTTAAAAGACAGTCCAGAAAAGACAGCGAAAGGTGATGCTCCTCCGGGTCTCTAAAGAGTCAGCCAATTAAATTTCCGATATGAAATCTGGGCCTTACAGTAGTCCATCACAATTGTGTGCCAGTTTTGAAATGTATTTTTATGATTGAAAAATGAAACTCAGCCCATTCTGTCTGGCCCTGCTTGCTGGAGTGGAGTGAATCACAAACTTAAAAAGGGAGATGGTTAGACACAAAGGCTTTAGAGATATTTGGAACCATTAAGATCTATCATTTATGGGAGTGACTCAGCAAGGACCTTGAAAGAATATTGGAAAAAATTCAGCCAATTTCCAAGATATATGGGGTCGTTTGGCAAAGTAGCATTTCCATGCCCAGCCATGATATTTTCCGCATTCTAGCATCAATCTTAGGCTCATGTTCCACCTGATTATTTTTCTCTTGGGTCACCACAGGAATGCCATTATCATCCATTCTCACCTGCAGCTCTTTATGCCAGCATTTCTTAGAATGAAATGCATTATATCTCAGTAAAAAAAAGTTTCCTCATCAAATATATTGAGAAGTACGGGGTTAAACAAAGTTAGGTAGATTTCTTTACTATGTGACTTCTCAGAGTCTTTGTAAAGCCAACACACGTTCGGAATATCCAAGATGGGTACATAGCATATCCTTGTTCCAAAATGGATTTGGCCAAGGAACTACTTTTGTTTGGGGACCATCTCTTTTTTGGGGGTCAGTGTTCTATGTACCTCATTTTACTAACCTCCCTTCTAGAGTGCAAATGGATTGCAAAATGAGATTCAACTAAATTCTACCAAAGGATCCTTATCTAGTAGGTAGAAAAATTCAGAGTCATGGACTCACTGACAAAATATTTAACTTTCCTGATTTTTCTGCAATTATACTTTATTTCCATCTTAGACTTCATTTATGTCCATTTGGATATGTATGGTTTGGATATGTCTGGTTTTTATTATTGTGTGGAGGTCTTTGCTGCTCACATCTAGTCTTAACGTCTTCTTCGGTCACCCATCCACAAACTTTATTGTTTTGTCCTATTCTCAAGGCGACTTCTAATCTGCTGCTGTTTCCATTCATCTGTTTGGCAGCTGGGGAATATGTGGCTGCTCCTCCTACATTATGTGAAAATCTATGGTGTCTGCTGGGCCCATCCACATATGAATCTTACCCGGTCATCTCTTCTTTGCTGCTTGGGTGCCATGTTGTTTGGAGGGCTTCTCTAGGAAGCCCTTCTCAGCTAAGCTTGGCACAAGGCCCCTTCCCTTCTGGGGTCCTGATAGCTTTTATTGTCTTCCCATTCAGGCTGAGCTGGGGGGAGTAAGCAACAAAGCACCGAAGCCCTCTTCTCAGAGACTCACGCTAGTCGCTATCTCTATTGCTCTTTTTCTCCTGCAAAGGGAGCTGAATTCAGGAACAGATCTGATCAAGGTGCTTTGGGAAAATGGGAAAGTAACACCAGGGCTTAACAGAAGTGGATGTTTCTAATGACAAGAAGAACCTTTCAGTGACCTCAGTTGCATTTCTGCATTTCTGGTCTATTCTGTAAAATTTGGGCAAGATGATTCCCCTTCTTGAGCCAAAGGCCAAGTTAGAACCAAACCTCCATAGAAGAGAAGCTTTCCCACCAGCCATTACAACATAGCTGTCATTGCCATGGTGTTTATTATGTGCCCTGTCCTGTGCTAAGCTCTTAGCATGCATTATATCATTTGATCCTCTCCTCTCCTCTGCGAGGCAGGTGCTATTACTGTCCCCAATTTTACAGGGGGAAAAAAATTGGACCTGAACGTAGTTAAGTAACATGCTGGGGTTGAAGTGAAAGAGCTGGGGCTTAAACCCTGTCTGATACATGAACCTTAGCTCTTCAACCACCACTGGAGTATCTTCCACAGTCTCTTCCCAGCATTTTATTTCTAAACCACCATGAGTAAGACAATCATGAACAGTTAAAGTTTGTTTAAATTTCTGTTACCATCTAAATGGCTCATATTCATGGAACAATTTGGTTAATGATAGGAGAGTCTTTCCCCTCAATGGAATGGCTCTGTCCTATCAAAGGCTAAATAAATGTCTGTTCCCTTTGCTTTTGAATTCTTTCCCAAAGCTGCCTTGTTTTCTGCCTTACCCCCAGCCTCCCAATAGCAAGATAAGAACACAGGGCCTGAAGCCAGAAGACCTGCATTGTAGCCTCTTTCTAACTGGTTCCTTCGCAAGTCATTTAACCTTTCTTAACTGAACTTGCACATTTCTCAAAGCGTGAATATCAAGTTCTACCTCTTAGGTTTGTTATGGGCATTAGGAAGTAATGTGCAAAAATTGTGTAAGCTTTGAGGTGTTAATTGTTAATCATTATTAATGTAAACTATACTGGATACTTGGCTGTCTGCTTCAGATCAGGCAGCAGAACTGGAGGAGAGCATGCAGATGGGGAATTGTTGCCCGTACTCACTTTCTCCCATGAACTCCATCCTCCAAATAGTAGCTAAGATGTCCCCGAATGAGTTCTACTCAACTCCACTTGGATGCCAGAAACCTGTGGGTTTGAAGGGGTCTTTCAGGAAGGGGATGAAGTGATGTGTCAGGGGACATGAATAGCTCTACTGAGTACCGTCCTCCAAACGGTAGCAAGCTATGGGAGAGTTATTCTGGGTTCCCTTTGTAGGAGCAGATGCCCAGTGTTGTGTCACTATGACTCCTCCCTGCCCTGGAAATTAAACCTACCCTACTTCTCCAGCACAAACCCAAAATTAGTTGTGCAGCTGTCCTCCGATGAAGCCCTGTCTCCAGATAGTACTCAAGGTAAGATTTATGACACAAGCCCCGACCGCACACCTTCTAGAGAAAAGGGGCATGCAGAGCAGTGTCACTAACCCTCTGTGGCCTTGTGCCAGCCCTCACTCCCAAGGGAGCTGGCTATTCCAGGCCTTCTTCACTTCCCAAATACCCACCATGCTGGCACAGTTTTACTGTCATCTATCTTTACTGGCTTGCGCCTGTTCCCTCATGACCATCACCTTAGTCTGACAGTTGTTGTTGGCCTTGTGCTGCTCCTACAGTCCTCTAACTGGTCTTCTCTGACTTCAAAGCAATCAAGAATGTGTCCCAAGCTCCATTTCCATCCTTGTCTCTTATTCCTCCTCCCATCTCTCTTTCTAGCCAACTATCCCTTCAGGTGGCCTGCCCTATCCTGTCCCAGGTCTTTCCTCATGTCCTTCCCTTCCTCTGGAATGGCATCGCTGCCTTATTGAATGGTAGAAATTCTCCCCCTTCTTCAGGTCCCACCTGATGGTACCTGCTCCGCCTCACCAGACAGAAGGAATCTTCCCTCCTCAGTGCTTCTCCAGAACTTTGTTCATATTTTCCTTTGAAGTATATCGGGTTTCACTCTGTACTATGTTGAACTGTGTGCCTTCTCTCTCCTCGAAATTCTAAACTTCTTAAAGGTAGAAACCAAATTCTGTTTATCTTGTTACTCTCCATAAGTCCTACCCAAGTGCTTGGACTATGATAGGCTCTTAATTCAATTCAAAAGAAATTATTCAATTAAAAAATATTTTGTAAATAAAAGCCAGTACATACTGTGTGCCCTGGTAGGCACTTCACAGCTGTTACCTTATACTTCCTTGATCCCAAGCCAACTCCGTATATGAGGTTCCATCATGTCTAGACATGTTCGGGAAATGATGTGGTAGGCCTACCCAGAATTCCATTGCATGAGGGACTGAGGTACCTTCTGGAAGAGAACTCGTTGTAAGGGCGTGAGAGGCAGCAACCATCAGCTTGGAAGAGAAGGGTCTCACTCTTTGGAGGGAAGGAAAACTTAGAGTCTTGTCTCTTAGAGCTGTCTGGGGAACTGACCGAGACTGACAGAAAACGATCTGAGTTTGAGGGTGTGTGAGGGGCAGCATTCACATGAAAACTTTGTTTCCTATTTGGGATAAGCTTCCAGTATTTGGTTTGGTAATTGTTTCAGCTGGAGCTTTAGAATTTATGGGGGAGCTTTTTATAGAAATAGGGAGGGAGAAATGACACTGGGTCAGGGTGAGCTAGCTCTGGCTTGCTTGTCCTACTGCCGACAAGTTTGTTTATCTGCACCAAAGCTGTCTTTGTGCTGTCCAAGCTCACTAAGTAGGAAAATTTATTAAGACAAAGATGGATTGCTTGTCTGTGACTGACTAATGCTGTGACCTTAGAAAAGCTTGTGTTTGTTCCACGTCTCAAAACCTTCTGCTAGGAGTTGCACCTTTTTTCTCTCATTTCCAGGATGGGCCTAAGGGTTTCGGTAATAATAATGGCCATTCCCACTGTCTGTCTGCTTGACCATTTCTAAGGCACGGCCAATTCCCTCTGATCCTGTTGTATCGTCACACCGTAACATTTAATCCAACCTTCGAAGCTGAGTTATCAGCTGCTATTATCTGCATATCTCCTAGGATTTAACACTCTGCTGGCTTGCCTTGCCTCGCCTAAAACATCAGAGTCAGTCAGAAATGGGTTGAGTCTTCCTAGCAGAGGCTGGTCCTTAAACTCCTTGTATTCCCTGACCGACACACCACACTTTGAAAAAGAGGACTCAGG